CTTAAAACTCGTAAAGTATTTATTACTATCACACTTTGCGGATATTTCAGAAGACATAAAAATAAGACTTGAGGTTCTCACAGCGGTGATTATGAAGATATCCGTATGCTCCCATTGGTCCAATCCCATGCCTGATCCCATTGGCTCGGGGCAGGCTACACCTTTCACTTTCCGGCCTATAAACCTAGCACCTCACACCCTATTGGCATATTCATCGCCCTGATGACGGAGGCAGTATGACCTCTGAAACGTTGGTAAACATCGACCAGACTACACAGCGCAATAACCCAGAATACGGATATCTACATAAAAATAACATTGCTGGTAATTAATTCATTCACTTGTTCTAAATTCTTACTGGTCTAATCAAGATTATGTTGGACGCTGTCCATTCTACTCCCGTGACCACGTGTTAAAGTTTCTGTCCCATTAAGCCAGTATTTAAAGGGTCCTTAGTTCGATGTCAACCGATGCCATTCATCTTTGAATAAACAGAATCTGTTAGCAGAGTAACAAATCGTTACAGATCACGCATTAAACCGAAAATTATGTGACATTATAATACAATGAGTTGTAAATAGAAACAAAATCATTAGATACATGTGTTATGGATAAGAAGACGTCGACACATAGATTTTTATGCATTTTATCTATAAATTTGTTCGTTTATTATTTATTTAATGCAGTGACACTAATTTCACTACATTATGTGTGACTGAATGAAAATATATGTGGAGTTGGCAGCTCCCTAAGTTTATTCTACACTACATAGTCTAGATACCTAAAGCGTCGTTAAATAAACTATGAACCACAACCCAAGATTTGCGTAGTGTCAATTGTAGATCAGATCTGCCTGTCATGAATATACATACAGACGAGTGATACATGCTAATTGAATAAAAATTTACTTGGATATTATCCATCGTCTAGTAATAAAACGTAAAAAACGTAAAACGACGTTTCGGAGATGGGACTCTATCTCCGTCTTCAGGTTCCTACTCAGTTGGGCCCACTAGATAGAGCTAATCCCTATCTCCGGAAGACGGAGATAGAGTCCCATCTCCGAAACGTCGTTTTACGTTTTTTACGTTTTATTACTAGACGATGGATAATATCCAAGTAAATTTTTATTCAATTGACTCTTCACCATCGTCAAGAAGTTTTAAATTTGAGATACATGCTAAATTCTACAAAATGGGTTTTACAAATATATTTTGCCCAAACTGAAGTGAATTCATCTTGCCACTCTTGTTTCATCCGTCTCATTATTAAAATGTCACCGCTCTTGAACCTGATCTCTTCCAGAGTCGAAGTCGAGTAGGTGTTATCGTATAAAAAGGCTCGTTCGTTTCGATTTCCACCTCTCGCAAAACTTTCTCTCCCTTTTCAGATGTCACAACATTTGTCTCGGCGCCACCAGATGTCTCTCCCTGGAGAGCAGACATCAGGCAGGAACCGTGTTCCCTTGCTTTCGTTAGCCTGAACATTTTAACGACGACGCACTGACATTTTCAATTTATCCGCAGTTGTAAGTCGCACCTGAATCCCATGTGGGAGACTTTGCTAAATCCTTGAAGTGTGCAGCGCGGAATTTCGCTACAAACACAAGCGAAATCACTTCCGATAAATTATTAATTACGTACCAAGCCATGAACAAGATAGGAAAGTCACTTCAAAACTCCACGAGTTCGTAACAACGGCTCTGTATGGAGATGAGTGGTCAGAATCACGCTCCGACCACTTAACCCCGATAACCATTACAGAGGAGACTGGGCGGATTCCATATCAGGTCTGGACGTGTCGCTCAAAAAGGAAATTCCCTGTCAGAATTAAATGAGTCAGTGTTCAGGACTTAACATTCACTAAACTGGAATAAAAAATCCGTCACTGATCTCGAACCTAAGCCAGAAGAGTCCGGTCCACTCGTATATTTTAACATTATATTCCTCCCATATATGCCTCTGCCTCCAAAGTCGCATTTTTCCATCGCATTATTCTACAAAAATTCTATACAAATTTCTTATTTCCTTCATGTAAGTCACATTTTTTTTAAATCTCATCTTTCTTGATTTTATAACACTAATAGGATTTGGTGAAGAGTACAAGTTACAAAGCTCCTCAAATTTCACACCGATACAATGAGTTATTCATGTTTTAATTATTGTGGATTCAGATTTTGGATAAGAAGACGAAATATTCTCAATTCGACGTTTTCCCCAAAATATTCAGACAATCATAAACAGTGAAGTACTTTTACAATGAACATTAAGAGAAGATTAGTTCACAAATTCGGAGACTGCTCTTTAAAATTCAATTCAAAAGTGTGAAGATTAACTGTGAATTTACTTGTCTTATGTAAGTGTAAAATTCGGATTCTTAAAATATGGGAATAACACAGGCTGACGGCGTTTCAGACACAATTCAGAGACGAATATTTCGAAAGTAGAGTAATGAGGTAACACGAGAACTGATGAATCTGCATAATGAGTAGCTTTATAATTTATAATCTTCACAAAATATTATTATAATTGCCAGATGAAGGAAAATGAGATTGGTCGGTCAGGTAGCAAGAACAAATGAGATGATATGCATCCATACAGAGGTTCAGTCGGAAGATTTAAAAGAAATAGTACATTTGTGAGATGTGGGTTCAATTCAATTCAATTCAATTCAATTCAATTAATTTATTTACGTGTTTGCCAACAGCAAGAAGCCAATAACAGGCAAACACTGATAATATATACAATAATAGTGAAATAATAATGGATAATATTACACAAACGGATTAACTAAACTTATACATGTACAGTATTAAATGTAACTGCCAAGTACAGGCAAACCCAAAATAGAAACAATATTAACACAGAGCAAAAAATGAAGAAATATAAATAAAAACAAAAAATCCACCTAGGGAACACTAATATAATTGTAAAACTTTAAAAAATATAAAAAGACAGATAACGAAGCTAGATCATTTCCCTTGTTGAGAACGTTCGCTCAAGGGAGACAACGTTTATGCTAAATACGTTCAAAGATTTACATACGTCATTTGCAACGATGACGCACCTGGCTGAAGGAAGGATAACACCAAAGCAGATCTTACACAAATACGATTCGAAGCTGTGGACTAGATTCAGCTGGCTCGGAATAGGGTCTTGTGTCCATGGTGATGGAAGTTTGCGTACCAAACAAGGCGGAGTGATGTTTGGCACGACATCTAGAATTTAGGGGCAAGTAGGAACAGCAGAAGTTTCATCAGGTGCCGTGATTTGATTAACAGCTCACCAGGACAGGCAACTCAATTCTTTTTAAATCATGTTACAGAGGCATGGACGTAGTAGCATTCTGTTTATAATTATGCACCGAAATTGCCGTCAAAGATCAAAGGCTGTAGTGACGTACTGAGTATAACATCAAATCAGTAGTGCACGGAAACATGGAAACTGACATACTAATGAAGCAGATTTACACATCATTGCATTACGTTCATTTAAAAGTCGCAAACTGGTATCGCATATTCTGCTGATTCTCTTCAAAAGTTAACCAGAATTTTGAAACTAATTCCTAGTACATTAGTAAATTATTTACGCTGTGACAGCAGTGTCATTGTTGGTTCGCAGACCACTGCCTACAAACCGCAGCTATAACTTATTCAGACACAGAACCTATGAAGTCAGCTCCCTATAAAGGCTTTCAACTGTGTGAGCTTTCAGAGTCTCACGGAAACGAGTATGAAGTAGACTTTATTCTTAATTGTAGTTCCGTGTAGTCGGGCGCCAGTTTACCGACGTTTCAGTAAGCACCTCTGAAACGTCAATAAACTTCCATCCGACTACACAGAGCACCAAATTGAAGACAGCCTCCTTTAAATTATTCATTAGCAAATGGCTAATTTACGTAATCAGGTGATCTTCTAGTGCTTAGACCTATTATCAATATATGAACGTTTCACGAAGTAGTCTAGTCATATGCGTATCAGTAAAGAAAAATAAAAATGTATTCGTGAAGAATGTTCATGTACGTAGACTAAAATTCCTTATGTGATTTTTTGTAATCACTGCTATTACACTGTAACTAGTACGTATGTCATGGTCTTCAATAAGAACATAATTAATCAGAACTACAACTTCCTCAAAGCTGTGTCAACATTCTGTGATTCTTTATTACGGATAAATATGAGAAATAATGCACGTTTCCTCCTCAGAAGTCTGCACGTCCGCCATTTATACGTTTCATGGTATGCAACGTGCATTACGAAAGTGAAATGACACCCAGTGACATAACATTAGTACCAAGTTTCACTGAACTCTACAAATGCAAATCAGCAGCCCTATCAACTACACTGTGATGCTTTGGCTTACTTTCTCTACGACACAGCTGTCATGCCAGCACACAATCTTCTCTGGCTCGTATAAGGGATTGAAATGGGCACTATTCAAGTCACAAGAATTTATATAACGTGACTACTACACTACTTCTTCAGAGCTTTACACATCTGAGCACCACCAAAAACATGTCATGAGCCAAAATTAATGACAAGTTTATAACATAAAAACACTGTAACAAGTAATCTGAAAATATTTAAGAATAAACTAACTAACCAACCAGATGGCTTACCGAACCCGAAGGTTCATCACCGAATTAACCAAAGCCCTCCACCGGACCCTGTCCTGGGCCAACAAAATCCAGTTTCCTTCGACTCCTATCTCCCATAGATCCCGCCAGACATTATCCCATCTACCTCTAGGTCTCTCCAACGGTCTCTTCCCCTCAGGCTTCCCAACCAAATACCCGGTGCACACCTCTTGTCCCATCCATGCGCGCTACGTGTGCAAATGTATTAAAATACCCTTAGTTGCCAGCAGTCAGCTTCCTACACGCAACCGGACTTGGATATTTCTGTACAAGTGAAATGGTGTTACAAGTAATGGAAACGTGTGAAAGAGACTATTTCCCTATCCAGCACCGTCTCATTTGTTTCCACTGTGATTTGATTCCAGGGCGACCCTCTCAGGGGAAGTGCTTTCAGGGACTACCGCGGAGACAACGTTGAGAACGAGGACAATGTTCCTGCTAGCCAACTCCACTCCATCCGTAAGTACATCGTTCGTTAGTTCGTTTTAGTCAGCCGTATTAACAAAGAACACGGGCTACGTGCAGGTGTAACGACAATGAGAAGGACTAAACCTCAACTTTCCCTTACTCAGACGTAACAGTACGAATTCGTACAAAGTTTTTCATCACGTACGAACAATCCTAAACATTTTTGAGTTAAACTGAGGCGTATTTTAAGAATTTAACTCACGCTTCAAGCAGTTTAAGAAGACTTTATTCAACAAAGCACACGCATTGCGTTAATAACTCTATTTCACTTCAGTGTGAACACTAACACCTCGAGGCAGTACAAAGGACTTCATCACAAGATGTTAAACAATGGTCAATAACCCAGTTCCTGCTTGCCTCCCATGAACTAATTAAATTCCTGGCGTTGTTCAAACACCGCTGCTAGTTGCTCCCCACGTTCTTCTTACTCTAAGTCAGTGGTATTCAACCTGGGGTGCGCGTACCCCCGGGGATACACGAAGATATTTTAGGGAGTACGTGAAATTTAAAAAAACATATTATTTTATGATAAACACTGAATAATCAGTAATATAATTTATTTAATTTATTTTAGATGTAGATTATATACTACGTATAACTTCAATTATATACCAACAACTCTGGGGGTACAAAGTTAAAGAAAAATTATATCTGGGGGTACGCGAACAAAAAAGGTTGAATACCACTGCTCTAAGTGACTGCTTCCAACTAGGTTTCCCAACAAAAATTCTCCGTACATTGTAACCTCATCTTATAGCCGTGAGACATTGTATATCCCAAATAAATAAGATTGACTAATTATAATCGCTCTCTACACAATACAAATGACTTCCGTAAAAACATTTTAACACACAGATGTGTACAATGGCGTTACTTTTCCGTAGTCTTCGAGATATTGCAGGGTTTTTTTTATCCAAAATCCCAACTATCTCAGCACGAATGAGAATGAAATACCAACATCTTCCAGTCAGCGTAGAAATACAAAGGAAAAAAAAACATCACTACCATTAAATATCTGAACTGAGTGTCTCGCCGTTACACTTGCATGTAGCCCTGTTCCAGTATTTTACTAATAACGTAACTTAAATCATGGAAATACTAGTATTGTAAGTTTCAGTTCAGTCAAATGTTATGTGAACTACACATTACCATCGTGATAAAATTCAATGTCTAGTGTGTCGATATCCACATACATTAGTGGTCCCCAAACTGTGGTTCGAGATTCTATTACGGATAAACAAAATTTACCAAATACGCTTAACTACGAATTTATCGTGTGCCAATATTTTTAATGTATATTCAGACGGCGGAGATCTGTTCCTTTGTTTCGCAGTAATATTGTTTTCATACTGAAATCAGACTGCGCACATGTATACTGGGCGCAAAATATTTTCATACCCGAGCTACGTCACACCAAGATAGGATGGGAATTTGGATAGGGCGTCTCTGCCACGTGTGTATTTGTGACATGAACCAAGCTCGAAGATATTTTGCGACAAGTATACAAATGAATCGGCTTACTTTCTTTTGAACCAGAAAATGTTTTGTGAAACGTTACTTTTGAGCTGTGTGTGGATGATAAAGCACGTTTAAGTAAAGTAATCTGGTAAAAAGGTAAAATTTTAGACTGGAGTCTGATATTTATGATTTTCTCAAACTACAAACTTTGGGGACCACTCACAAGATATGTTTCCAGCTGTACAGTGCGCTTCATAATTGTGTGCGAACATTAAGTGTTGACGAAGAAAAAAGTGTATATCAAATAGTAACCAGAAGAATTAATTATTAACAATTTTATTATCTGTAAATGAATTTTATCGCTCGACCTAGATTAAATTTAATTACAGTAACGCTCGGTAGCTTGAATACTCTTATCGGCACGGATACGCGGAGTAGGCAACCCACTTAGCACTGACCGGATGAACAGTGACTTCACGCACCACAGATGGACAGACGCGACCTAAGTTGATTTTGAATTACTTCCCTAATAAGTTTTATAAGCTCTTTTGTCATGCGCAGTTGGACTTCATATGTGTTGCTGCATATATAATCTAACTGTTGAGTAAAGTCAGAAATATTTTTTTTTTCTTTTATGGTAAATATTCACCACTCTGAATGCTTGGAATAAAATTCGTAGATCGTAAAGAGATATATCATTTTACGTGCTTAGAGAAAACTGACAAATTTCTTTTCGCTCTTAATGTAAATTAACGGTTACACTGAACCGATATAAAAAAATTGGCCACGGTGTATAACGTAGACTTTCCAATATCAGATTTTATTATTTCCCGTCGAATATTTCGGACAATTATATATTTTCAACGTAAAGCACAATATTTCACAGGGTGCATTATAAATAAAAGGTTTTTGAACCTATTTGAAGTAGGGAGTTCTTATCGAGAAATAAATCATCTTATCTCTGGCGTAAGACGCTGACAATAAGGAACTTTTCCTCTAAAATTAAGAGGAAAGTTCAATACTGGCACACAATTATGAAGCACTGTAAATATACTAAAAGTAATCAGATATATTAAATTAGTCGATAAGATACTAGGTGAAACTTACAAAACTAGAGAAATCCATACAGGCCCATAGGCTGTTCATAAAAAAAGTCGCTGTGTGAGCAGGCCACGAAACTCAAGAACTGCAAGACAGCGGTTCGAAACTTTCGCAAAAGTTACAAAGCAGCAAATCGTTCACATTGAAATTTTAACATTTTCAAATCGAGACTTCAATGAAATACAATACAACACAGAGCGTAAAATGTAAGTAAAATAACTGGCTGATCATTAATTAAGAACACGACGTCTAATCAGAAAATCAGTAATTGAATTCTACGAGATCTTTAAAGTAATTTAAAATTAAACTTGACAATTTATTAGTTCTCTAAAGCAATGGCTCTCAAACAACTTTTTGTTACCAGAATAAAATTCTTGTATTAAAATCACATAACATTAGATCAACCATTTGTAATTCATGTAGACACATACTCTTATTAACATTTCTTGAGCTAAACTTCACAGCAAACTCTGGCTTCAGATTCCTCTCCTTTATTAAAGAATTCAAAAATTGTTAAATCCAGAACGACCTGATAGGTCTTTTTTTTGGATCAGAGAATTAAACTTCCATTTATTTGAAGCCTGTCTGTCAGAGTCACCACCACATTTTAAAGAACTGCCCCAGAATTGAACTGAATATACTGAATTTTCAACTTCTTCTTTCGGAGGTCTTCGGGGATGTTTACAAAGTCAAGCGATGACTCGTGCAAGACTCAAAACAGCAGTAAAAAAATACGAAATTAAAAAAATAGAACAAGTATCTCATTTTAATTACTTGGACTACAGACTGTCCTGCTGTAAAAATGCATGCATATCAGAGGATGTGTGGAAAAATTAGAAGACATGAAAACGCACAAACCAAATTTTATACATTGATGGCAGTCCCGATGTTGAATTATACCTGCGGAAACTGGACAGAGAATTACTCAGACAAAATAAAGTCTAAATCAGCTGAGTTTAAATTCCTAAGATCAGTAGATGAATTTATCCTAACAGATTTGAAGATAAATACGGAGATACGGAACCATTTAAGTACCTAAAATCTGAATGAAGAAACAGCAAATAACAAGAGAATTTGCTACGAACACGTTTTAAGAATACACTGAAATAGACTTCCAAAGACTTACAAAAGGACAGGATACAGAGAACCATTAAGACCCAAAACAGATGTAAGGATGAACTGCATTTTGAAGACGGCTGTCTTCTGGGTTGTAGCGCCGTGAAGCCTGGTAGAAGTTTACCGACGTTTCAGAGGTCATTGTTGCCTCCATCATCAGGGCGATGACCATGGAAAATTTATGCCAGACTCCACAGCCTAACAACCTTCAAATTCGCAGCCAAGAGAAACTGAAATCTGAACCTAACTTCAGGGTATTTCAGTTTAATATTGGCAAATTACAGTCTATGACTCCAGCAGGCCCATCTCTAACAATTTTCAACTGAAAATAGTAACATTTAAATTATAACATATCTCGTCTCCTTCAAAAGCCAATTAACTATGATACATAATTTGAAGAAAACTTATATATATTGTTGATATTCTGAAAACAAAGGGTAAAAACGAAGTTGGTATACCTAAAAACACTGACTGTACTAAACGTATACATTTCTGAAAAATCCCCAAAATCACGAATTCCAATGGAAAACACATTTCAATTAATATTGGGATTCAGATATATTTCAAAACATCGTAACTTCAGTGAACCAGCTGATATTTCTTCACATAAAACAAGTCCTGTGGAGAGACCACGTTGCATCTTAGTTCAAATGACAAATATAAACTCGTTTAAACACGAAGGAGAGGGCAAAGTTCAACAAATGCATTGTCGATGTGGGCTCAGGTCTTAGAGAACTCAACAAACGTAATTTAAATGTCAATGATTGCACATGGGAATTCCAAGAACTGCCATCGATTTGTGAGCCACCGGAGACCTCGTTCTTGTACAGCAGTGAGACTGATACAAACCTGTGGAATCAGCCGACTATAAGCTGGATATAAGAATACATGCGGTACTGTCCTTACTCTGTATTCAATACACAATTCAGACATTGAATTAATTTTCCAAAGTATCATTACTGACAAACATGAGGTTTGTCACATAAATTTATCATCAGAAATAACGACGTGCAGGAATATTTAATACGACAATATTCCAGAAACTGAAATTTGCCATTTTAGTTAACTTTAACTCTCTCAGTTTCCGAGTTATATTTAATATACACGACGATTTTGAGTTTCCTCTACACAAGACCAAAAATAACAAATTTATATCACAGTCCCACACTACTTTATTAAAAAATTAACTGATACATTAGATATTAAACGTAGCTCCATGTTTCGGTCGCAATAGACCATGTTCAGGTTCTAAATACATATAATCTAAAGGCAGGGTTAGCACGTGGGTAAACAATTACAAACATATTGGCATCTTA